CGCCGCCGCCGTGCGCCAGGATGGACTCCTTGTCCTTGCGCCGCGCCAGCTCCCGCCGCTCGCGCAGGCCCACGAACCAGCCCACGCTGAAGCCGGACACCACGGCCCCGACCACGAAGGCAGCCACCGACGAGGTCACCAGCAGGTTCACTGACACCAGCCCAGCGCGCTCCTCTGAGAGGCTGGCTCGCAGGAGGCCTGCGGGGGGCGCAAGGGGCCTGGTGAGGGTCCCTCTGCTGCCCGTCTGCCTGTCTGGCGGGGTGCCTGTGTGTCCTTTTACTGTTGCAGAGCTGGGAATGGAACCCAGGGCCTCCTCCATGCTAGGCCAGCGCTCACCACTAAGCCGCACCCCAGGCGGCCCCCACAACTTTTTGTCAGTATTGGGGATTGAACTCGGGGCCTTTGTACTAATCTGCATCCCCAACTCTTTCCGTGTTTTTTTGAGACAGGATCCTACTTAAGTGGCCCTTAGGGTGCCCTCAAATGTGCGATCCTCCTGCCTCAGCCTCTCAAGCAGCTTGGAGGACAAGCTGCGCCGGCTCCCTTTGTACATCATGAAGGCCCGCAGTCTGCCTGTTTTTGGGCAGGGTCCTCTGCCTGTCTGACTTCTCAAAACTTGCCCATCTGCCCGCTTCACCTCCCCTCTGGCACTCTCTGTGCCTGTGACCCTCCCCGGGGGCTGCCTCCTGTAGTGTCTTTCTCCCACCTCCCCACCCGAGAAGCCTCGGCCCCTGCCCTCCCAATGCCCTTACGGATGCCACCTCCCATGGGTGCTGTCCCCCCCTTGCATGTATGTGACAGAGGACAAGAGACCCTCCAGGACCAGGGGGTTCAGCAGGCCCGAGGCTGCCCCTCCTCCACCCACCTGTACAGTCCCCTAAGCCTGAGGTGCTGGCACCAGACACGTCCTGCTCAAAGACGGCCCTAAGTAGGGGGAAGAGAGGACAGAAGGTCAGCAGATGTCCCCAAGCAGTGGGGGCAGTGGGCAGGGTGCGCATCGCCCCTCCCCACCCCCTACCTGGTGCCTGGGCTGAGGAAGATACAGGAGCCATCCGGGGTCCAGCCGCAGTAGGGGTCTTGGCTGCCGATGCAGTTCCTAGAAGGGCCAAGAGACCGTCGTTCAGCACCCAGGCGCTGCTCACCACGGCAGGACAGGTCTTGAGGGGGGGGGCCGCTCGCCGCCCAACTCACAGGTAAGGAAACTGAGGCTCAAGAGCCTAGCTTTGGCCCAGGTGGCAGAGCTAGGATGGAGCCCGGACAGGCTGGCCTAGGTTCTGTCCTTGATGCGAGAAGCAGAGTCACGACTGCAATGACTGTGACGACTGGCGCTCCATGCTGAGCGCACACCGAGCCCAGAGGAGCCCAGCGCAGGGCGTCTCAACTTCCTCCCACTTGGAGAGCAGGACACGGGTTCTACCCTGACCCCCGCCCCGCTGTCATGCCCTGCGGCCCACCTCGCGGTCCTCCTCGCAGCGGCCACCAGGGGGCGCCATGAGCACCAAGCCGGGCCCTCCGTGGCTCCCACCTCTCTGGGGCCAAAACCCAAGTCCTCCTGCGGCCCACAGGGCCCTGCACTGCCCGTCTGTCCGCTCCCCGCCTCCCCGCTCCCTCCGCTCCAGCCACCCGGGCTCCTCGCTGCTCCTGGACCTCACCGGGCTCCATGCTGCCCCAGGGCCTTGCACAAACCCAGTCTGCCAACGCATCGGGTGCCATCCCCGCCCGTCCCCGAGCTCACCCCTCCGTCCCGCGCGCACTCACTTCATGCATCCCGAGTACTGCTGGCAGCGGGCCACAGGCACGCGGACCACGCACCGCGGGAAGGCCGCCAGCAGGCCGCCCGAGGCCGCGTCCAGCTCCAGGCTCAGCAGCCGCTGCCCCGTCTCAACGCCGCCGCCACCAGGCCGTCCGCACCTGGGGCCAGGAAAGTGACCGAGGGGGTCAGGGCATCCCACCCGGTCTCCGCCCCCCAGCGCCACCTTCCAGCCGTTGCCCCAGTTCACCTGTCGGGCCGGTAGGTCTCAAACTCCTCCAGGAAGACACTGGGCCCAGTGGTGCCCGCGACACTGGCGTTGGGCCAGACGAGGAACTTGAGGACAGTGCCCACCTCAGAGCCCAGGAAGACCACGGTCTGGTTGCCCCAGGGGCCGGCGCCCACGTCCACGGCCACTCGGGTGAGCTGGTGCCTGCAGGTGGATGGGAGCGGGCGTCAGGCTGGCCCTGCGGAGTCTGGGGCTAACCCTAACCCTAACCCTAACCCTAACGACGGGGTTGGTTTTATGGGTGCGCGTAGCCACGCCCATGCAAGCCGAGGACAGCCCCAGACGTGCGCGTGCGCGGCGCGGCCCACGGCCCTGCGGAACAGAAAGAGGGTCCCAGGCACTGCTGCGGCGCTGGGTTGCAACCCCAGCCCGGCCCCGATGAGGCCCCGAGTCCCCCTCATGCGGGGATCCGACTCTCCCCCTCCCGGCGCCACCAGCGCTGACCGCATGAGCGTGCGCACGATCCAGGGCGCGTGGCCCAGGGAGGGCACCGCCTCCTCCATCAGCGGGTGCGTCTTGATGAAGTTCAGGATCTCGTCTGGCAGGGCGCTCGAGGCGTTGTACTGCGAGCCCGGTGCTGCGCAGCACCCCGGCCTGGGAAGGAGGAAGGGGAGCATCAGATCGAACTCGGCAGCCTCGGTTTCCCCATCTGCAAAATGGGTACAGCCTGGAAGTCCCAGCCCAACGTCCTGGCGCCCACGGATCCTTTGGGGACCTTCTCAGGATGGGGTGCTGCTCACCGGGGCCGCGGCACCTGATCCTCCGGCACCGAGGTCCAGATGGACTCGGGTGACTTCTGCTCTCGGAAGCGGCCTTCGAACACAGCGGCCACCTGCCTCATGTCAAAAGCACACACTGCCGAGCCCGGGATGCTGGGGGTGAAGACAGGGCACTCTGGTGAGCCCGGCGGGAGCGGGGCCCAGGGAAGAGGGGCACAAGAGCCCTGTCCTTGGCTGCTGGATGGACCCTCAGCCCCGTGCCCAAGATTCAGCCTTCCCTGTCTGCTTGCCAGACCTATTCACTGCACCTTCCGTGCAATCTCAGCTGGATCCTTGCTCAGCTTCCCCAAAGCCACCCACTGTGGTCTTCCCAGCCATCCAGTCTCCCAGGGGCCACACTTGCCTTGTCAACTCATTCCCGAGACCTTTCTAAAAATGCAAATCTGGCCAGGCGTGGTGGCGCATGCCTGTAATCCCAGCACTAGGGAGGCTGAGGCAGGAAGATCACTGAGTTCAAGACCAGCCTGGGCTACAAAGTGAGCTCAAGGCTAACCTGAACTGAACAGTGAGACCCTGTCTCAAAAAGACAAAACAACAACAACAACAACAACAACAACAAAAAAACCTACAATAAACATGCAAATCTGATTTTACTCTTCTCTCCCTCTATAGTCTCCTGTGGCTCCCTAGTGCTCTCAGAATGAAGTCCAGGCTCCTCTCCATGTCTGAATCCTCCCATTGCCCTCTGCCTTCACATCCTCTTCCTCCCCCTCATTCCTGTCCTCTCCTCAGCCACATGGATGTCCTCTGTGTGACCTAACAGTCCAGTGCATCGAAGCCACAGGATCCTCACACCTGCTCTTCCCCAACTTGGAACACCCTCCCTTCTTCCTCCGTCTCATACACACATTGCTCCAATGCCCCTGCCTCCAAGAAGTCCTCCCTGGTTCCTTCTCCCACAGACGGAGGAGGAGGTTGTCCCCCATCCCAGCCTGTGGCTGAGGCCTCTGGGGCCCAGTGCCGCCCAACCCAGGCCCTGGGGAGTATCTGTGAGCGAGCGGGACACCTCTGGGCCAAGGCTCCCCCTTCACCCAGCAGCGCCATCCACCTGTTGCTGGGCGTGGAGAAGACGGCCAGGACGATGGGCCGGCCGCCCAGGCTGACCACGCCGGTGACGGCCTGCAGCACGTTGAAGTAGAAGTGGGAGTCCCCGGGCACGGAGCAGTTGAGGCGCGCCTTCAGGAAGGACGTCCACTGCTTCTCCAGCACGCGCGGGGAGCCACCCAAGTCGTTCTTGCACACCCGGGCCACGCGAGACACCACCACCTGCACGCGGCAGCCACAGATGGGGCCCTGAACCCAGGGTCCCGGGGAGGCCCGGCCACAGCTGGGCCGCCTGCCGCGCAGGCCCGGGGGAGTGCTCCTCCCAACCGCGATGCGGATGGCCCGCAGGGTCCCCGCTGCACACATGGGGGGACTGAGGCACGATGGAAGGGAGGTGTGCAGCCCAGGCGGCAGGTAGGTGCTGGTCTTTGCACCTCACCACTGTCTGGGTGCTGGATGGGTTGAGGGATATGACGGACAGGCTGGGGAGGAGGACAGAAGGGCAAGTGGATGCACGCATGGGTGGATGGATGGGAGTGGATGGGCGGCCAGTGGCTGGGTGGATGGATGGACAGATGGACGCAGGATGGCAGAGTCAGTGGCTGGGCAGGAGGGAGCTGGAGAGGGGACAGGGGAACTGCGGGTGCGCTCACGGACAGACGGGTGGGTGGGACTGTGGCGGGCGTGGGCGGGCAGTGGGTAGATGGACAGTGGCTGAGTGGGCGGCCAGGTGTGTAGCAACAGCACCAGGGCTGTGACCTCCGGGCCACTGCCTGACATGTCTCCAAGGGCTCGGCAGGAGGAGTAGCGAGGAGGCTGGGACCCTGCGTTCCCAGGCGGAGGGGCGTTCGGGGACCCACTTCTGCTCCCCTGCGCCAGCGCCTGGGCCTCTCGGGGAAGCAGCCTCACCTTCTCCAGGTAGTTAAACTCCATCGCGATCTCCCGGAAGAAGAAATAGACGTGGCTGCGCCACTGCACCGCGTGGACAAAGTAGGGCTCTGTGGGGAGCAGGGGCCGGAAGCCACCGTCACAAGGCGGCCGGGGCAGCGTGGCCGCCTCCATGGGGAAGGACCTAGGCTGGCTATCCGGGAAAATGAACTGGGCTCAAAGCTTTCTGTTGTCGTCGTTTTGGTTTTTGTTTTGTTTTGTTTTTGAGGGGGAAAGGCGCTCAGGAGCCCGAAGGCGCTGTGTCCCACTCCCTTCCAAACGGCAAACCTGCTATTTTTTTGTCCCCTTCCTCCCTCATGTGTTGGAGAGCTGAGCTCCTGCCATCCTCGTCCTGTGCTTCCATTTTGAGCTCCCAAGCCACCCACTTCCAGCAGGTTCCGCTTTAGATCCAAATCTTTCCCTCGGTTTATCTTCCGCCAGACCAGGGGAGGCTGGGGTGCAGCTCAGGGGCCAGCACTTGCCTGGCGAGCACGAGACCCTGGCCCCCAGCCCCAGCAGCACAGAAACAAGTAAACCAACCAAAGACAGGGTGGGGTGGAGGCCCGTCCTCAACAGCCCGGGGCTCTTATTCTGGTAGGGGAGTTTGATGAATGTCAGCTCTACTAACTCTAGACTCGATGCTCTTCCAGTTTAGTTAGGTTCTTCTTGGGAATTGGTACATATACACCTCTCGTCATAGTCACTGTAATTTCCCCTCCCCCCGGCCCCCACCTTTGAACCACTTGGAGTCGTGTTTCACGGTGCGCAGGGTGGGGCGGTCCCCGAGGCTGCGGTAGATGACGGCATCGATGGCCAGGAAGTCGGTCACGGTGGCTGTGAAGAGCATCCCGTCTGGGGAGGGGGAGCAAGGGAGGAGGCGAGAGACCAGATTTTAGGGCGCAGAGCTGGGTGGGTCAGAAGTCAGGGACCTCGTCTCCAGGCTGAGCCCCGACAGCATCTGAATCCCAAACCACCTGAGCCTGGATCCCGGGCTCCGTCACCGACCCTAGGCTGAGCCTGGGTCCCACTGGAGCCCTGGCCCTCTCAGAGCCTCTGAGCAGAACTGGGACTCTGCCCATTTCTGGGTGGACAACTGGTCACCCAGGGCCTGCTAAGTGACCTCATGAAAGAACAGAAAGTGTCAGAACATGCCCAGGGCCCTGGCTTACCAGGAAGGCAGGCACTCACCCGAGAAGAGGGCGACGTTGGCGTGTTTGGGGTCATACGGGCAGCGAGCCATGCCGCTAATGTTATCCCCAACAGGCTGCAGTGTGTCCATCTGCAGGGAGGACGGCCTGAGTACAGATCCGGCAGCCCTGGCTTCCCCAGCCCTCAACTCCAGGGAGAAGCCTGGCTTTCCCCTGGATGGCTGTGTGACCCTGGCCAGGCGCCAAGGCCTCCCTGGGCCTCATGTACTGATCTGTCAACAGGCCTCAGGGTCGATCCTCTTATGACCCATGGGCTGAACTAGTCCTAGCTAGGCTGGCTGGTGGTTTAACAGGCTGCAGCTTCCCTGACCCCTGTTCAGGCCCTCTGTGGAAACCAGTGGCCCTTCTGGATCTGGGGCGAGGGACACATCCAGGAAGGCTTCCTGTAGGAGGTGATGTGGATCTTGGCCAAAGGAGGGTGGAGGCGCCAAGGCCTGGGGGGCGGAGCCAGGGCAGTGAGACCTCTGGGGGGCGGAGACTCACACTGTAATTGGCGCACACTGGGTTGAAGGCGTTGGAACCGCACACAAACAGCGTGGACTCATCGCGAAGCAGCAGGACCTTCACGAAGTTCCGGCACTCGCCCTGCGGTGCACAGGGGGAGAGAGGGGGGATGTGGTGTGGGCGTGGCCCTGACTATGGGCGTGGCCCAGGCTGAAAGGCACCACAGAGAGGAGGGGCCGGGGACCTGGGTGAGGCCAGCACTGGGGACCATAGTGAGGACATGGCCACTGAAGAGGCTGAACTAGGACTGGCCGGGACACCTCTGTGACCCAAGGAGGAGACAAGACAAGGAACAATTTTGTAACAGCAATATAAGCAAGGTCAGGGTTGTGAGCGGAGCCGTGACTGCCGATCATTTCGGGGCGTGGCTAGGCTCTGGGCACAGGGACCGCAACACCAGGGTCCGAGCCTGGGTGAAGGAGGGGCGGTCCCTGCGGGCGTGGCTGGGGCCGGCAGGGGCGGGGCGAGGAGCAGAGCCAGGGCGGGGCCGGGTGCACGCACCTCCTGCTTGCCCTTCATCCGACACACGTCTATGTCGCTGGGGTTAGACCGCCAGGTCAGCTTCTGCAGGCAGAGAGAGCTGGTGAAAGGCGCGGAGTACCTAGGAGCTCTGAGATCCACCTGCTGGGCAGGGCCACTTCCACCCAGCTCCCGAGCGCCCCCTGGTGGAAGCCCCCCGTTCCTACCCCTCCCCTCCTGCCCGCGCCTCTTCCTCACCCGCTGGTACCGCAGCTCTGTGGGCGTGGGGGGCTCCAGCTCCACTCGGTACAGATTATCCCTGCGGGAGGGCCCAGTGAGACTGAGCGGTCGCCATCTTTCCCCGACCCCATCCTTCCCGCTGCAAAGCTGGCGTCCAGCAGTAAGATGCAGGGACATGCCAACGCCGGCACCATCGCTCCACACCAGGCACGCTCCCGTCCCCAAGCTGCCTGCACGCTCCCTGGGGCCCTGACACGGCACCGCACATTTACACACACGCCCGACCTGACGGATCGCCCATGTCTTCACACCAGGAGCCCCCCAGCGCCCCAGAATCCCTCCTGCTCTTAACCCTCCCCTCCATGCGGCAGAAACTGCCCTGGTCAAGGTCATCGCTGGCCTCGCCGTGTTCCCGCCGGGACGCGTCTCCATCCTCCTCCTCTCAGAGCACCTGACCCCGCGCGTCACCCCGCTTCCTGGGAACCCCAGCCTCAGTGCGTCTCTGAGCCCCTCGCGTCTCTGCCCTCCTCCAACCCCACCCCCGGCTCTGACTTCTGTCTGCAACGCAATGATGCCGTCGGACCTATCTCCGGGCCCCGGCTCCCCTAGCTCAGCCTTGGGGTTAGCTGCTCCTGGGCATTCTCAGTGCCTCTGGGATTCGTGGGGACTCCATGGCCATGTGCTTGATCTGTCCCCCAGATGTGCACCCCAGCATCTCAGTTAAAGCCAGGTTCACCCTTTAGGGGCTTCAGACAACTTGTGAGGGTCCCCATATCCCCCCTCATTGTCCCCTCCGACGTTCAGCACACCAGCTAGTACTATTGGCTCTGCCCGCAGTCTGTCCCGAACCCGCCTGCTTCTCCCACCTCCGCGGCCTGCACCCGGCCCAACTTCTAGCCAGCAGCCCGGACCAGCAGGGCCAGGGCCTGGTGCCGGGCTCCCACCCTCATCCCCGCAACCTGGCCTTCCCGAAGTAGCCACCAGAGGGCGCCGTGAGCACCGAGTCCGATCCTCCCTCCTCAGTCCTCAGCCGTCCAGTGCTCCCACCTCCCTGGGGCCAAAGCCCAAGTCCTCCTGCAGCCCACAGGGCCCTGCACGGCCTCCATTCCCTCCCCGCCTCCCCTCTTCCCTCTCTGCCCCTCGCTCCCTCTGCTCCAGCCACACAGCCTCCTCCCTGCTCCTGCAAAATACCAGGCTTGGTCCTCCTCCAGGGCCTTTGCACTGGTTGTGCCCGCTGCCTGGAAGGGAATATCCTTCTCCAGATTTTTCCACGGCTGAAAAATTGTTTAGCTCTCAACCCAAATGCCACCTCCCCAGAGAAGCCCTCCCGAGCGGCCCCTCTCCCGTGCCCTCTCTCACGGTTCACATTTCAGGACTGGCTGGACCACTGGCCACTCAGTGAACTACGACCTCCCCTACTCTCACACCTAAGCCAGCTCCAGCCGCCCAGCACCGAGTTCAGCACCCTGAGAACGCAGTGCCCAGCACCCAGAGTACGAGCTGGCACCCAGCGGGAGCAGCCCCGGCCCCCAGCTCCCCGCAGCGTCCCGGAAGGCTGTGCACCTGTCCCCGATGAACAGCGTCCTGTTGACCCGCAGCACTCGCTGGATGTTGAGGTCCTCGGTGGCCTCGGCAGGGCCCGGGCGCCCAGGTCCTCCGCCCACGAACACGGGGTAGAACTTCAGGTCTGAGGGAGCGGGCGTGGGGATGAGCCAAGAACCAGGAGGGAGCAAGGTGGCCTGAGGTGCCCCGACTTGGGGAGCCTCTGGGGTCCCTCCCGGTGGGACCCACAGACCCACCCTCGTGGCCCCACCTCCCCAGGGTCGCCCTACTCACAGTCCCTGGGGGCCACGCTGAGCGGCGGCGGTTCCTCGGGGAAGAGGCTGTGGGTGCCCCCCAGTAGCAGCAGGAGGAGCAGCAGGGCCGGGCGGGGAGGGGGCGCTCGCGAGGTCAGCATGGCGAGGGCCAGGTGGCAGAGGTGACAACGGCAGACGAGGCGGGGCAGAGAGCTGGACGGTGTGCACTTCCGGAAGCTACCGAGAGAGGGCGCGCGCCAACCTCCATCTGCTCCTTTATTGCCAGGAACTCCACCCCCGTCCCGCCCCGCCCCGCCCCACTGGGATAATAAAAAAAACTTTAATAATAATACCCAGGACTTTTCTGTTTTGTTTTGCTTTTTTTTTAGTCTTCTTGAGACAGTCTCGCTACGCAGTTCAGGCTATCCTTGAGCTCATTTTGTAGCTCAGGCTGGTCTCGAACTTAACGATCCTCCTGTCTCAGCCTCCCCAGTGCTGGGATTACAGCCCTGTGCCACCACACCTGTACATTCCCCAGCACTTCTTTAATCAGCAGAACAACTTTAGCACCACGTGTGAGTAAAAACGCAGGAAACGACTTCGAACAAAAATGTATGAAATCAACACGACAATTACATACATCTTTATATTTTCCCCCCAGGTCAGGGGGCTGAACCCAGGGCCCGCAAATTGTGTTGCACCCCAACTCTTTTTTATTTTTGGGACAGGGTTTCGCTAAGCCACTAAGTTGCTTAGGCTTGAATTTGCAGCGTTCCTGCCTCAGCCTCCCTGAGTGCTGGGATTACAGGAATATACCACCACATCCAGACCTACGGTAAATATTTTTTAAAAACTCTCAGAACACATTATTTAAAAATTCTTAGAATTAAAACACAAGATTCTTAAAGCCTCAAAAAATAAAATCAAAGACTCAGAATGTTATATATTAAAAAAAAAAAAAAAAAAAGCTAGGAATTGTAGGACTAGAGAATCACAGACTATTCCAGCTGTCCCTGACCCTTGGCGACCCTGGGAGGTCTGGCGTCCTTCCTGAGTCCGTCTTTCTGTCCCCAGCTTGAATACCTCTGCGGCAGGCGCCTCACGACCTCCAAGGGGCACGCCTCTTCCCTCTCCTATTCCAGGCACCCTGGCAGAAACTTCCGGTGCGCGAGTGGAACCCGCCCCCTGGAGCCCAGCCCTCCGTGCCTGGGGACCCCGTTTCGGGGCGCCCCTACCAGAAGGGGTGCGACGGGTCCCGGAAGCTCCTACTGAGAATCTTTGCGGTGGTACCGTCCTGGAAAGTCTCTGGCGGGCCGGGCCTTGGTTCCCCTTCTGGGCAGCAGGTCGTCTCCCAGCCCCGCGCTGGCTGGGTGGCTCCAGAATCCGGAGGCCCTTGCAAGTGAGAGCGACTGGGGGACATGGGCGCCCTGCAGTGCCCGCCACCGAGCTTTCAAGGCCAAAAAACAGGAAGGCCTGGAGGGAATCGTGGGCCGCCTCGCCTGACCCTGGGCTTCCAGGATTTGTGACTCAGCGGACGCCCGGATCCCGCGTGCGCTCCTGGCCCTGCTTCCTTGCGAGTTTCCTTCCCAGCCCCTCCCCTGCTCTGCAGCCTCCAGGGCTCACAATGACCCTTGAGCCCCGGCCCAGCCTGGGCCTCGCATGGAAGCAGGCTGACCACTACCCGCCCGCGCGGGCCCTTTCCGCCTTGCCTAGACTCTTCCCGGTGCTGCCCGCCCCTGCCGCCCCTGCTGCCCTAAGCCACTACATTTTCCAAGCTAGGCAATCTTGAATTGAATTTTGCGAAAATTGAATTTGCAATCTTCCTGCCTCAGCCTCCCAGAATTCTGGGATGTCAGACGTGCACCCTTGCGCCCAGGTGTGTCTGGCTTAGTTCAATGGGTGGCTTCTGTCCCTTGGCTATAGTGAACAGTGCTGCCCTGGACACGGTGCTCAAATATCCCTGCTCCACAGAGCCTGTGCACCCCCTCTAGTACCCTCATCACCTCGTCTTAAGTGTCTGTCTGCTTCTCAGGACTGTGCTCCCCAAGGGGGCAGTGATGGCTGCTGTTATGTCCCGAGCACCTCAGAGAGCCCAGTAGATGCTCAATAATAATACATAAAATTATGTAATAAATACAGTAGATGCTCAATAAATAATTTTAAAAAGTAGCAAATACTTAGAAAGCAGTTGCAGCTGGGCATGGTGGCGCACACTGACAATCCCAGCACTTGGGAGGCTGAGGCAGGAGGATCACCATGAGGTCAATGCCAGCCTGGGCTACATAGTGAGAGCCTATCTCAGCAGCAGCAGAAGAAAAGCAAACAAGCACTTGCTATGTGCCAGGCATATTGTAGTACTTAAATTAACTCAATGAGTGGGCTTAATTCAACCAAAATGTGGGTGCTGTTAACAGGTCCCTCACACAGACAGAGAAACTGGGGCATAGAGTGGCAAAGATATTTGGCCCAAGTCACGGAGCCGTGGAGCTGAGACCGGAACTTGCTCCATGAGCTTTGCTCATTGTTTTGTTTTATTTTTGTATTTTGAGATAAGGTCTTGCTATGTAGTCCAGGCTAACCTTGAATTCACTACGTAGCTCAGGCGTGCCTTGAATTTTCAGTGATCCTCCTGCCTCAGCCTCCTGAGTGCTGGGATTACAGACATGCGCCGGCATGCCCGAGACCAACCGAACTCTGCCTACTGTGACAATAACGCAGACCTGAGCCCCAAATGTTTTGGAGGGAGTCTGAATCACTTTGGGGCTGATATAAGGTACCAAGCCTCAGTCCACCTGCTGACCTGGGGTAGCCAAAGGCCTCTGTGACGCCCCCAAACCCTAGGACTATCTGCTTCTCTCCATGAAATTTGAGGCCTCTCTGCCAGCAGCCTCCTGGCGCCGGAAACGGCCCCGCCACCTGTCAGGCTGGGCTGTCCGGCACCTGGCCACCACGCCAGCAGCCACCAGAGCCCAGCTAGGTGTCGCGTGGCTGTCGTATGCACCTTCTGGTGTTCGGGCCCACAGCGCATCTGGCAGTGCAACTTCTGGCTCTTCCCGAAAGTCAAAATGACTATGAGCCGGGCTTGGGGGCGTACTCCTGGAATCCCAGCACTCGGGAGGCTGAGGCAGGATTGCTGTGAGTTCAAGGCCAGCCTGGGCTACATGGTGACTCCAAGATCAGCCTGAACTGCATAGCAAGAGCCTGTCTCAAAAAAAAAAAAAAAAAAAAAGACCATGAAAGGGAAATGTTTTGAATCCATTCAGGGTATGCAGCAGCCTACATCCTGGGTCCTGTCCCCAGCCTGGGCCTGCTCCCCACCCACACACCCTCAGCACCATCACTCAGGGGAGTTACAGATCTCGCGTACCCCAGAAACTGGCCATCCTCCTGCCTCAGCCTCCCAGAGTGCTGGGATGACAGCTGTGTGCCATCAGGCTCCGGGTTTCTCCCACCTCCCTCTCCTGCAGGGCTGGGTTTCTGGGTTCTTCTCAGCTCCCAATAGTTCATCTTAGGGTCAGCTTATAAATTCCCAAACAAAACACAAACAAGACAAAAACCTGTGGGATTTTCACTGGGACAGGGCTGTGTGCGCAGATCAGATCAACTGCACCTCACCATTCCTCCATCCTTTCTGGCTCAGGCCCTCCAGTAAAGCCTCTTTGACTCTTCTCTCCCTCCTTCCCTCCCTCTGCTTCTGCAGTGCTAGGCTCCATGCTGCCCCAGGGCCTTTGCACAGCCATGCCCTCTGCCTGGAATGCTCTTCTCAGAGGCCCACACAACTCACCCCCTTCCTTCAGGACTTCTTTGGAGACCCCACCTCCCAGCCCCCAGACATGGGAAGCCTCTGTCCTCCTAGCTGACCCAGCCCATATCCAACTCCCAAAACCCTTTGATTGTTCTGACCCTTTGCTACACAGAGAGTGGAGGGGAGCAGCACCCTGGGGCTCCTCCGGGTGCTGTGGGAAATGCACAAGCCCTGCCCACCCCAGACCTGGCCCAGCCAAGCTGCACTTCTGTAAGATCTCGCAGAGCTGTGCACCCATGAAGCCTGGGATGCTGGGTCTCCACATGGGTCTCCCTGAGAAACAGTCCCCATGTGGCCCTGTCCGGAGCCCTTCCGTGCCCCAACTGTGAGCCCCTGGGCGAGTCTTAGCCAAGCACATGTGCCCTGGGGTCAGATGAACCCTTGGGGCTTAATAATTGTTTTTTCTGCTGTGTTCTCCTGGGAGTGAAACCTGCTCAGTGTTGTCCAGAGCACGTGGGTCCCTCTGAGCTCGACGCAGCATGAAGGCACAGACCCCAGGAAGCTGTCACCCAAAGCCCCTCACCCATGGCTTTCTGGCCATCAGACAGTTTTTTTTTTGTTTTGTTTTTGTTTTTGTCTTTTTGAGACAGGGTCTCGCTATGCAGGTCAGGCTGGCCTTGAGCTCACTTTGTAGCCCAGGCTGGTCTCGAACTCACAACAATCCTCCGGCATCAGCCTCCCCAGTGCTGGGATTACAGACGTGCATCACCACCCCCAGCAATCATCAGACAGTTCTGAGGGACCCCAGGTCATGTGAGGGACCGAGCTGGCCCACACTGGTCGCCTGTCTCCATGCTCCAGCCACTGGGGAAACTGAGGCCCAGAGAGCAGGATGGACAGGTAATGCAATCAGACAAAAGGCCTGCATTTGCCAGACTTGGTGGTATACGCCTGTCTTTCCAGAACTTGGGAGGCTGAGGCAGGAGGATCACTGTGAGTTCAAGCCCAGTTTAAACTACACAGTGAGACCTTGCCTCAAAAAACCGAAAGAAAAAAAAGCGCTGGTTCAAACTCAGTTCTGCCCATTACCAGCCATGTGACCACAGACAGTCCCGTGGTGGGCACTGCCAAGCAGCGTCCCTGGCCTCCGCCCACTTCCCGGCAAGACTCCCCCAGCTGTGACAGCCACACACGTCCCATCTGTGCACGGGAGCTCCTGGGAGTGATTGACTGCTCTCAAGTCTTCTATGGCTTCCTAGTGTCCTTCAGCGGCAGTCACTGGGACCAGGCCTCCGTTTCCTGGCCTGTGAACTTCAGGTAACCCCAAGTCATCTCTCAAGCCTTACAGAGATGACAGAATGCAGACCCCTGCTGCCCAAAGACACCCCGGCCAGTGGGGAGGCGGAGGGACCCATACCACCAAGCAATAGGCCTCAGTCACTTCTGACAGTGACCATTCCCGTCCCTCTGGGTTTTTGTTGTTTGTTTGTTTTTTGAGATGGGGGTCTCATTATCCTGGCCTTGAACTTTGCAGTGACCCTCCTGCCCCAGCCTCCCAAGTGCTGGGATGACAGGCATGTGCCACCACACCCAGCTACTCTGTTTTTGTCCTCATGTTCATTGTTGTCAGAAATTACCTAAGACACCAGAACACCCAGGCACAGTACACATTTGACCTTTGCTTTATGTCAAATGACCTTGCTGTGTGACCTTAGGCGACCAACGTACCCTCTCTGGGCCTCTCTGTAAGGGATACAGCGACCCTCACCAGGCTGGGAACCCGTTTCGCGGGTGGACACGGCAGGATGGTGGTGCCCATCTCCGGTTCCATAGGAGAGGCCAGTCCCTTTTGCCTGTCCCTAGGGGGATCAGGTAACCCAGCCCAGCACCCGGGCCCTGCGCTGTCCAGGTCTGGTTACCAGCTCTGCTTACAGCTGCCTCCTCCAGCTGCCTCTGCCTCACCGCGGCTCAGCCAGCTTTGGGCTGTCTAGGAACTTGGCCGAGGCCACGGGGGCCTAGCAGAGACGCCCCCCAACTTCGTGAGTCTTCAGTTTCCCCAGCAGTGACCCAAGTGACAACCATACCCTCGGGTTAGCAGGGCCGGGCAGGTGCATAACAGGTGCCTCATTAACCACGGGACCGCGGCGCGGTCTGGGGCAGAGCCGCTCCCTCTTGGGGCGCGCTCCCTTTTCTGCAGAATCGGGCTGGGAATGCGAGATTCCGGAGATAGGAGGGGTCTGGCATTGGTCCCCGCTCTGTCCCTCAAGCCCAGCTTGAGGCCAGCACACAGTAGGTACTCAGCAAACACCTGCTGGGTGAACATCTGAGAAAGAGCCCCATATTTATAAACAGTGGCACCCGCCTGTGATCCCAGCACTTGAGAGGCTGAGGCAGGCAGATCGCTCGCTATTAGTTCAGAGCCAGCCTGGACTACACAGCGAGCCCATCTCAGAAAACCAAAACTAAGTAAATAAAAAACAACGGTGAGGATGTGTTCACTGCAGGCTTCCAAGCGCCTACTGGGTGCCAATGCCGCCGGCTCAGCGTGCGGGAAGCGCGGGGTTAGTGCTGGGCAGGGCTCTTCCCCACTGTGAACTCACTTTACGCCTGCACCAGCTCTCAGAGGCCAGCACCTTCCCTCTCATTGTGCAGACGGAAAAACTGGACGTCAGAGGGATCAGGCCACTCGGCCGCGGTCACACAGCACATTCTGGTGCAGCCGAAATGCAAACGCCGATGCCGTCTCTTAGTGACATTTTCATCGCGTGCTCGCGACAGCCATCTG